ATAAGTGAAGTGTGGCTTAGTTTGGTTTGCACTACTAGCTAAGGTAGGAGCGATTGGAGCAAAAGATATGTCAAAAGGATGTTGGATATTAAGGGGTGTTCCCCAAGGTTCTCTCCTCACAGGTCTACTACGTGGGCGTGATGGAGGCCGAATGCTGGAATGGCTCCTAGAGAAAATGGGTGGCTCTCTCTTCCCAGGGTGATAGGTATGACTGATGTTGGAGTTGGCCTTGGGTCTTCTCATGGGCCCGTTGGTTGAGGGCGTTGGCGTCTTCTACTGTGGATGAGGCTTCTGCTGACACTGTGGCGGTGATGGCGCAGTCTTCTTGTAGGAGATTGTGGTTGCTGCTGCCAATCTCTCTAGTGTCCCTTGATGTGGAGATGGAAATTGAAGTTGCAGGGCGGAAACTTGCTTCTTCTTCAGATCACCAATGGTAATCAGGTCGACCATGCAAGGTGTCTGTTCATCCATGATCAGCAAGGTGTTGTGGTGAGGCACTGGTGCAGCTTTCACCTGTGTCAAGAAGTCCATACCATGGACGACAGCAAAGTCATCCAAATGTGCAACGGAGAGGTCAATCTCCTAATTCCAGGTGCCGATTCAGAGTCCAACTCGACGAGCCATGCCTTCGATGGGTTTTGCACCTGTATTAACGGCTTTGAGCCAATATGGCTCTCTTGAAATGGCCAAGTTGAGTCTCTTGGCCTCAGCAATGGATATAAAATTATGAGTGGCCCTTGTGTCAACTAGGGCCCGGGTTGGCTTCCCGCCAAGGTATATGTCAACGTACCTCAGTCCTCTCTTGACTGAGGTGGGCTGTTTGGAAGTAGCCCCTTTTTTCACCATAGCATTGAAAAGTTGTAGGGCACCCACTCTTGGCGCCTGTGTACTCCGCTCCCCGTCGCTTCGTTCATCATCACTCAACTTGGCAATGAGGGCATTTAGTTTCTTCTGCTTTGGGCAGTGCTTGGTCAAGTGCTCCTCTCCACAGATATAGCAAGTGGGAGGATGTGTTGGTCTCCCTTGGTATCTGCTGTTGTAGGAGTTTCAACTTCCTTGTGGCTGCTTCCCTTTGTGGTGGTCAACTGGTCTACGGTGGAATGGCTGCTTCTCCTTCGGGGGGCTTGGTGTTCTATCTCCCCCACTCAAGTTGGTGGCACACGGGCTGGCTGGATTGCTTCCTTCATTATCCAACAGCCTTAGTTCATTAAGCTGTTTGGCCACAGCCATGGCAGAGGCAAGATCCTGGACATTACATCACTGGAGCTTGAGCTCGGCCCAAGGCTTTAGGCCATCCATGAAGTTGAACAATAAATCCTTGTTTGACATGTCGGTGCTTTCCAATGCGAGAACTAAAAATTCTTTGACATATTCGTGGAGCGAGTCACCTTGCTTTAGAGTTTTCATCTTGCGACGAGCGAGGTACTCCACATTCTCTGGGTAGAACTGTCTCTTTAGCTCTCGCTTAAAGTTGGCCCATGTGTGAATGGTGCACGTTCCCCATTCTATGTCAAGGCTTCTTCTATGCCACCACAACATAGCAACATCAGTCAAATACATTGTTGTTGTACGTACCTTAGCCGGTTCATCAATCACACTAGCCGTGGCAAGGTACTGGTCCATTTGCCACAAGAATTTGTCGAGCTCCTGGGCATCGTGTGCACCTGAATAGGGAGTTGGCTCCCTAATCTTTATGTGGGAAGGACTGTGCACATAGGAGGTGCTGGCTGGATTGGCAATGGCCCTCTTCGAGATTGAACACTCGGCCTTGAGTTCGTCTAGTTGAGCTTGGGAGTCGGAGGAACAAGCGGTTGCCTTCATGGCTGCCCACTCTGCTTTCATTTTATTCAATTGGGCCTGGATGGCCATTGGGGAGGACATGGCTCTCCTCCATGTTGCCTACTCGTTTCTCATTTCATCGAGTTGGGCCTGAAAGCTGTCTAGCTTGTCCTGAATGTTGGAGTGGGATGAGCTTCCTTCTTGTTGGCGTGCAGTGCTGCACACTTCCTTGAGTGTCCCGTTAAGCATGTCACGAACCTCATCAGCAATGCCATTCATGCGGCCTTCCACCTCTACCACCGCACTCTCGACGGCTTCAATATTTTGGTGGAGCTCATCTACTTGGTCACGCATCTCACCCACAGTGGCTTCACAACGCAACACTCGTAGGTCGATGGCGGAATGCTTGTCTATGGATTTCTCACGCTTGCTTGCCTTTGATGTGCGGATCTTCGGTGCTTTGTCCTTGCCGATGTCGTTGGCGGGTGCATCGTCGGGCTCATGGGATGTGGAGAGTCCATGCTCAATCTCCTCCATGATGTCTCTATTGTGCTTCATGTCGTCGCTCGCGCCACGGGTCGAATAGCTAGGAAGGATCTTCTGCTCTGATACCAACTGTCACGGGGCTAGTCGTTGGGGCCCCGTGCGGCACTCATGTGGGTCGAGTAAGCCTAAAAAAGCAAGCAAACACACACAAAAGGCAACAAAGATAGCACATGAATTAGTAAAAAGGCACTTTATATTGCAATAGATGGCAAGCACAAGCACACAAGTCTGTGTCGAGGGGACCTCGTGCTTAACCTTTACACGGTCTTGGCACCACTCAACTACTCACCTCCCCTCAAAGAGTACATTAAGCTTTTGGTACTCTGACAAAAGATTACATGGAAATACTGGAAAATCATACTACATAATTACAATAAGGCCATCGGCCATCCCCCCTTACAAAATACACATGTAGGCCCATCCCAGACGCACTAGACGACACTCTGATGGCACGTCGTGGGCATGGCAAAGGCACTTGATGTCGCGAAAAAGTGGTCACTTGTGACACTATGGCATAACTCTACAGCAAAATAAGCACTTTTAGAACCCATCTAAATGAAATAGTTCAATCCATCGGATTGTTAGTTTGCTACCCTTAACAATTCATACTAGTGGTTACTGAAACTTAAGAATGTCTGAATTAAATCTGCAAATTCGCTCAAAATTTAAATCCTGCACAGGTTATGTATCATCTTTCCCTTCATCAGATCTTTCTCTTTCTACAAAAATTCATTTTTAGAGGGATCTAAAAACAAGAACAAAAAGAAATCAGCTGTTTTTAGAGGTTGCTGAATATTTACCAGTTTGACACTTGGGGTTTTGTCTGTGATTGTATCAAAAAAGACAGATTGCCATATGTTAGTAGTTAAAACAGAAAAATCATATTAAGTATTTTCAGTGGTAATTATAATAAAGTTGAGTATCAATAATTTAGTATTTCACCAGCTACTTGAGGTTAGTTTATTTTATTTCTTACTATGTTGTTAAGGCTCAGTTTGGGAAGAGTGCAAATACAAATATGTAAAGTTCAGAATCCCATGTATATGGCATTTTTTCTAAACTTTGTATTTGTACTGAACATATTTGTGTTTGCAATCTTCCCAAACTGAGCCTAATATACAAATCATCTAAAAGTTGACCAAAGTTTAGCCATATAACAAAAGGCACTATCATGTCTAACATATATTCATCCACTTATCCTATGGTCAAACTCCTCTATGCCTCTATTTTGGATTTTCTTTTTAATCAGCTTATGAAATAATGGTTCAAAAAATTTGTAGCTTCTATTATATTCTTTGAATCAATATTTTGTACACTATGGTCCTTGTTTCACTTCTGACCCAAATAAAACAGATTTTGTTTGATATATTGCATTTGTCATTTTCTTGATGTTTATGTTTATCAATTTTATCTAAGTATTTCCACTTGTTTGGCAGGTTTGATTGATTCATTGCTGTTACAGAAGCAAAAAGTTTAATATACTTCATCCTTTCACAGGTATTTATAGGAACAATGGCTATCATAGAAAAGATTAAAAGAAAGTGAAGCTGAAATGGCACGGAAACAAAGAAACAAAGTAACAGGTTCTTCTCTTGACCCTTCCCAACAAATTCTGACTGTAGACTTTTGATCTTGCTTGAAGTTCTATTCTAATGCATTTAATATGCCAGATGCATTGGCACATGGCGAGAGAGAGAGAGAGAGAGAGAGAGGGTCTTACTAGAGATTGACAGTGGGTGGTACCAGAGGTCAGCAGTGGCAGCAGTTGTAAGTTTGAATACCAATGAAAAGAATTACATAACGTTATTGAATGATCTGAAGGAAGGAGAGGCAATTTTGCTTACAGCACTATTATTTTTCGTGCCACAGACTTGCTTCATTTTTTGCCTGTGGCCCATTTTTCATTCTAAAAAGAATGATATCACAACAAGAATTAACCAAACACGCTTGTGTAGAATGAGAAAGAATTTAAAGAATGAGGCCAACAACAGTGATCCAAACATGGCCTTAGTCATTACTGACTATCCTAAGTTTTCTTTCAATTTTGGATGCAGACTTGTGATGACATGTCCTGGAAAGATGCATTTGTAGTCCTTGTTCTTCATATAAAGGAGCGAAAACATGCCAACAGGGCATGTTATGTACATAGTATGGGAGTTTTTAGCATGGTACATGGGTAAGGTTCTTCATAATGACAACCAATATAAACAGAACTTGTGCAAATGAAACTGATATGGGAAGACAAGGATAACAACCCAAGATGGCAAGAAAATATAGTTCTTTACAACCACAGTGCCTTGACTATGAAAACATGTTTACATATAGCAAATATGCATATTTGGTGACATGAACTCGTTAACTCATGACCAATCTGCCATTGGATGTCTTGATTGGGTTTCCTTCCCCTCATGATTTTCTCATAACAGTCAGGAAAGCAGGTATGGTATATAGGAAGCTTTTTCCTGAGATGATAAAGCACCTTTAGTTATGTTGTAGAGACTAAAGAGTTGTTGTGCCCCTCCCCCCTTAGTTTCTGCTTTTTATTTAAATTTTTTCAGCAAAACTGTACTTTCATTAAGTCACTTCAATGGGCCAGAGAAAGCAGTTTTTACAAGAAGTTTTCACCTATATTTTTCAATAGAGATTTTTGAGAAGAGAACTGGTAAAATACACTGTTAACCTTCTAATTCATTTAGCCTTATGTTCTGTGTATCTGGATTATAGTCAGATGCCTTCAAGTTCTTAATCATGCCTTCAAGAACCTCATAAATCTCCCTCTTCATATGATGACTCCTATCTGCAGTGACAAACTCATGGACTCCTGTTGTTGTCTCAATTGAACTGCAACCAGGAATCCTTCAATGTTGTATCTGATTCCTCACCATCAACTTGTCATCCCATAAACCTGCAGCAGCATATGTATTAGACAGGGCTACATCATCACCAACATGGCTAGGATCTAACTCAAACAGTCGTTGTCGGACACTTAATCCAAGCTCCGTGTCTCCATGAAGGCTACATGCACCAAGCAAGGTGCACCACACCACTGCATTTGCTTGGATTGGCATGTTCACAATAAAGTCATATGCATCTTTAAGAAGTCCGGCTCGACACAGCAGATCTACCATGCAGCCATAGTGAGATATCCTAGGCTTCAAGCCATACTTCTTGCTCATGCTTTCCAAATGTTGCCACTCTTCTTCAACCAGCCCTTTATGGCTGCAAGCCATCAGGACTCCTATGAACGTTACTTCATTGGGGAGAATCAAATCACTCCAGTGCTCACCATCGTTTTTATTCCTCATCTTCCTCTTGCTCTTACTCCTATTCATTTCTTCAAAAAGCCTAAGAGCTTCTTCTGCTTGCTCATGCACAGCATGACCCACAATCATGGATGTCCAAGTTGTGACATCCTTTGGCCTTACACTATCAAACAATATCCTTGTCGTTCCAACGTCTCCACATTTTGCATACATGTTTATGATAGCATTATTGAGGCATAGATCTAGCGCCCCAAGATCTGCACAGGCAGAGAGAGCAACTGTCACTGTCACCTGATTAGGTTCCACGTTCTCCAACTGCATCTGTCTGAAGAGTTTGAGCACCTTATTGGGCTTCCCATTGTCGACTTAGGCAGAAATAATTGCAGTCCAGCAGACAACATTTCTATAGGGAATTTCATCAAACATGCGGTGGGCGTCATTGAGATGCCCCATCATAGAATACATGTTTATGAGAGCGGTTTGAAGGAAAATGACACGTCCGAAACCAAGATTTATGGTGATGGCATGAGTTGCCCTCCCTTCTCTACCACATGATTTCTTGGTGCATTGCTTGAGCAAGTGGAGGAGCAAGTAGCTACCCATGGAAGAAACACCTTTTCTACATAGTTGTCGAGGGTGTAGGAGGGCCTTCTTGCTGATGGAATTGGCTTCGCTGGACGCTTTTAAAATGGAGTTTGTTCTTTGTGGTTTATGATGGAAATGATGATGAATTCTGGGTTGGAAAATTGGTAGTAACTTGGTGGTAGGTCTTCGGAGCAATGCGAACCTGTTCATTAAACTCGTGATCCGAGGCACTGCAAGTGCAGAGAGAAAAAGGCCAGACCGTTTCTTAATTGAGAAAACTGAATTTTAATAGCCATTACCATCACCCACATATGTATTGCTCATTGCGGAACGTGGACACCATTGTCTGAGAAAGTGAGAATAACTACATACCAGGAACAGAATTCTCAAATAACAAAAGTTACAGGCTTTCCTGGCAATGTTTGTACCAAAGAGTTAGCTTGCCCCTGGATGAGAAGGGTTGTCTGAAACTTCAATGTTAGCACTACTGCAACATCCAATTCTAGAATAATACACCAAGCAACTAATTGCAGTGCTTTCTGAACCACGAAGATGAAAAGCTTCCGTTTGCTTAGCTAGGGAGGCCTGAGTCCTTTGGTTGGATGCTCTTATAATATTTCCTTTATGATCCCCATCCAAAATCAGCAGAGTTGGAGGACTGATCAAAAGCAGCATTATGGTTGACCTTCAACCATGTCAAAATTTTTATTGATATTAGGGCTCAAAAGTTGTCCTTAAAGGCTACAATCTCTTTTATTTTCCAAATTCACCATCCGTTAATTGCCGTATATATAAGATTTCTACTATAGGCATTTTGCTCTCATTGTGATGCTTAAAAGTATTCCAAGGAAGTTGAAAAATGGGTTTTGGGTTGAATAATAATAGGGGTATTTCTGAAATATTGAAAAGTGTTTCTATAACAAAGGGTAAAATGGTAATCTATTAACACCCATTAGTCTATTTAACGTCAAGTTACTTGCATGGAGTTCCTAGACGTTTTGAAAGTTATGGTGAGTTTAAGAGAAATGTTGAAAAGTCATGGTGAGTTATTTGCTTCTCCATCTCGTGAAATGTAACTCCAATTTGAGTTAGTAGAAATCTACTAAATTAAAATATATATATATATAAAAGAAAAAAAAAGTATTTTTTTGAAGAGAGAATGAAGAGAGAAAGAGAAGAAGAGAAGAAAAGATTTTGAGAAGTAGGAGAGCTATATTATGGCTGCCCCCTTCACTTGTTATTTATAATAAAAAAATATAACAATATGAATAGGATTAGGATTCAAAAACATAATAAGATTTTGACTGTTGTGGTCCCCACTATCTATCTAAATTCTAACATAACACAACTATCCTAAAATAATCACAAAAATCATCCAATCTTCAACACTCCTCCTCAAGTTGGAAGTAAATGTCACACATTCCCAACATGTGTAGATCATGTTCAAATTTGTGCTTTGCAACTCCTTTATTGAAAACATCAGCCAATTGTGACTCTGAAGAGACATAAGGCAAGCAAACTTCTTCGGTGGTTACCCTCTCCCTTATGAAGTGCCTATCAACTTCAATGTGTTTTGTTCTGTCATGCTGGATTGGATTATGGACAATGTTGATTGCAACTTGATTATCACAGTACAGTATCATAAGCTCATTTGCTTTCACCCCAATCTCGCTCAATAGAGATCTAACCCAAAGTAGTTATGAGACACCATGGGCCATGGATCTATACTCAGAGTCTACACTTGACCTAATCACAACCGGTTGCTTCTTGCTTTTCCAAAAGATCAAGTTTCCACCTACGAAGGTGCATACTCTCGATGTAGATCTCCTATCACCTAAACACCTTGCCCAGTCTACATCTGTATAGGATTCCAATTTCATATTTTCATGGTTTGAAAAAAGAATGCCTCTGTCGGGGTGCTTCTTTAGGTATGCAAGTATTCTCTCAATAGCTTCCCAGTGTTGAACTCGAGGTGCATGCATATACTGACTCACAACACTGACGACATAGAAAATATCTAGTTGTGTCATACACAAGTACAACAGTCGACCTACCATTATCTGATATCTCCCCACATCTTTTACCTACTCTCCATCCACAACATTAATTCTATGGTTTGGACCAATAAGAGCGTTAGATGGTTTGGTTCCTAACTTCCCAGTTTCCCGTAGTAGGTCAAGAGCATACTTTCTTTGAGAAATGAAAATCGCATGCTTGGATCTTGCAACCTCAATCCCATGAAGTATTTGAGCTCACCAAGATCTTTGATCTCAAATTCTTGTTGCAGTAGCTTTTTGAGAGCATTAATTTCTTCCAGATCATTTTCTATAACCACTATATCATCCACATATACAATCAGAATTGACATTAGAGTGTCTCTCCTCTTCACAAAGAGGGTGTGATCAGACTGTGTTTGTGTGTAACCAAAACGGTTAAGTGCCCCTCTGAACCTGTCAAACCAAGCCCTAGGTGATTGTTTCAAACCATACAATGATTTTTTGAGTTTGCACACATTTCCTCTACCAATATTTTCATAAAAGCCTGCTGGAATGTCCATATATACCTCATCCTGCAAATCACCATTGAGGAATGCATTTTTAACATCAAACTGAAACAGAGGCCATGAGTTGATTGCTGCTAGAGATAACAGAAAATGAATTGAAATCGTCTTAGATATTGGTGCAAAAGTTTCCAGATAATCAATGCCATATATCTGAGTATACCCTTTTGCTACCAACTTTGCCTTGTACTTCTCTATCATGCCATCAACCTTATACTTTATAGTGAACACCCATCTACATCCGATCGTTTCCTTGTCTAAAGGAAGATAAACTATTTCCCAAGTTTGGTTCTTAACCAAGGCTTCCATTTCTTCTTGTATGGTTGTTTTCCACTTTTGGAAAGAGCTTCAATAACATTCCTAGATATAGACACAAAATTCAGGGAAGAAAGAAAAGCTCAATAGGAGGGTGGTAAAGCACTATAGGAAAGATGGTGTGAAATGCAATGGGCTGTACATTTTTTCTTTCCTTTGCCAAGAGCAATGGAAGATCAAGGTTAGTGGGATCAGTTGCAACAATAGTGTTAGGTACAAGAACATTATCATTAGAAGAAATGACAAGCTCAGGTTCAAGGGGAATACTTAGAACTGCATCTATAGAACCTGGAGCTTCAGAAGAGTGGTGCGGGTTGTGGATGTATGGAGTCAACCATCATCTGTTGGTGCTGCTCAAGTACAGAAACTGATGAAGGTACTGCTAATGGGGATGTTGGTGGAGCCACAAAGGAAACGGGAAGATGAATAGACTGTAAGTTCTCCTCCCCAAAACTCTCCCCCTGAGGAGAACCACTTGAGAAGTAGAAGGTAGATTCAAAAAAGGTAACATCCATAGTGATAAATCTGCTCACCGACATAGGATCATAACAACAATACCCTTTTTGGTTCTGAGCATACCCAAGGAAAACACATTTCTTGGCCTTAGGATTCAATTTCTTGCGATGGGGGCCAAGAATGTGAATAAAGGACACATAATTGAAAACCCTCAAAGGAATGTGAAACATCTCTGCATCTGGAAAAAGAAGGTTGAATAGCACCTTAAACCCCAAAATACGTGAAGAAACACGGTTAATCAAGTGAACAGTTATAAGAACTGCATCTCCCAAAAAATGGACAAGAACTAAAGCACATATCATAAGACTTCTTGCCACTTTCACAATGTGTCTATTTTTTCTTTCTGCTACTCCATTTTGTTGCGGTGTATGCGCACAATTGCTCTGATGAATTATACCATGCTCCAAAAAGTATGCTACCAAGTCTTTCTCAAAATACTCTCTGGCATTATCCGATCTGAAGGCCTTAGTTCTTACTCCAAATTGTGTGAGAACCATTTGATGGAATTGTGGACCAAGTTAGGGACCTCATCGTGGGATCTCGTCAAATATATTCAAGAATACTATTTGTAATCATCTATAAATAGAATAAAATAACGATAGCCACACATATAAGGAATATGATACGGTCCCCATACATCAGTGTGAACAATATCAAAAGCAAACACACTTCTTTTATCACTTGGTTTAAAAGAATGTTTACAATGTTTTCCCAACTAAAAACTCTCACACTCCAAGGTAGATAACTGAACAAACTCAAATAACTTTGGAAATAGAAATTTTAAAGAACTAAAAGAAAGATGCCCTAGCTAATTATGCCAAAGCATAATCTGACTCACTGATTCTAATCTACTACTATTGCTGCAACTAACATGATGACTCTGATATCTTGGAATGTCATCTAAAATCTATACTCCATTCACCTCAAGACCACTCCCAATCATCTTCTTTGACTCCAAATCCTGCAAAACATAATTATTAGGAAGGAAAGTCACAGAACAATTCAGATTTTTTGTCAAAGAACTAACTGAAAGTAGGTTGGTATAAAGTTTACTAACATGTAAGATAGGATAAAATAATATCATTGGTCACTCTAATTGTTCCCTTCCTAGCAATGAGAATATGATAACCATCTGCTGTAGAAACTTTGTCTCTACCAGAGCACAACTGATAAGAACTGAAGAGGGTAAGGGCATTAGTCATGTGCTCAAATGCTCTTGAGTCTATAATCTAGAGAGGTTTGTCCTTACCTGAAGTGGATGCAAGGTTTGCAGTTGCATATGAACTACTCTGTTGTCCATGAATTATGTTCTCACAGCTGTTACTGCAATGAATTCCCAATCAATTTGGAAAATAGGGGCTAAAGAGTCTCCTGTAGTGGCCACATTCGCTTTTTCTTTCTTGTTCTTGATTCGATTAGCGTAAGTTGTGGATGGAATTTCCAACAAGTATCTCTGGTATGCTTAGGCTTCTTATAGTAATCACACACCAAATCCTTCTTATCCTCCCTCATAATCTCACTGCTCCCCCTGTCTCCATTCGGTTTAGGTTTGGATGTATTAACCATGGCCGACTAGTCAATCCCAGATTGTCTCAACATGACATTCCTCCTGCTTTCCTCTCTAGAA